GTGGGTGTGTGCAGGGTGGGGATGTGTAGCAGTAAACGGGGCTCCCCTCAAGGTGCGGGGTGTATGTGGGGAGGAGTGTGGGGTTAATGCAGGGAAGGGTGTGGGTGGGTGCGGTGTTGGGGGTATGATTGTGTGGGGGGAGGGTGTGGTTATGAAGTTTGCAGGGGAGGGTATGGTGGGGTGCACATGGGAGCCCCCCTCCCCCGAGCTGGTCAGCACCCACCCCACAACAGCATGGAGCCTGCATGCCCTGCGGTATGTCCCTGCCGCCACCAGCAGTGCGCAGCACCAGCCCCACCCCCACGCCTGCTCCGGACTTGGCCCTGCCAGAGCAGATCAGCCAGAACCCACACAGCCCCGATCTGACCTGCCCCGTGCCTGCTCTACACTGTCCACCCATGGCGTATCCTGCTGCCCCCTAAGCACAAGGTAAGACTGGGGCAGCTCCACAGCTGGACTGCCTTTCTAGGCAGCCCAGGTGGCAGCAGCTCTTTCTGGCCACCACTGCCACTGGCTCCAGCCCCACAGTGCTGCACAGCTGTGACTGCGTGTCCTGTGTCTGCTTCAGGCTCACCTGCCCAGGCTCAGCAGTGGTGGTGCGGGACAGAAGCTGTGTCTCAGCGTGAGAGAAAAGCATCTCCTCCCCTTCACTGCCTCACAGCATTTCCTGCTGTAGCCATCTGGAGCCCATGCTGTGCTGCCCTGCATCTTTTCTGTCATCACAGCCACCTCCGGGCTACCTAACGGTGGCAGTGCAAAGAAGGTGGAGGGCAGCACAGCACAGACTCCAGGAGGTTGCAGCAGGAATGGCCAGCAGTCGGAGTGGGAGGAGGAGGGACCACTTTTCCCCCACGATGAGCAACAGCTTCTGTCCCGCATTGCTGCTGTTGAGCCTGGGCAGGTGTGGAGCACATGGGGTCAGGGCTGTGCAGTGCAGGTCCCCACCAGTACCGTGGGGCTGTGGCTAGTGGTGGCAGCAGCTGGAAGAAGCCGTTGCCACCTGGGCTACTTAGAAAGGCAGTCCAGCTGTGGACCTGCCCCAGCCCCACTGCATGCCCAGGGGGTGGCAGGACATACTACAGGCAGGCAGTGCCTGAGCCGGGTGGGACCAAAGGACTTGCTGCGGGCTGGACAAAGGCCTGCCACAGGCCAGATCCACCCCACGGGTCATATTTTGCCCACTCCTGATGTAGCTGTTACCCATAAAGACATTTTTATTTCCTGTTATCCTCTTGGTCTTGTTTTCTTTATTAAATATCAGTGGGGGGGTTTTCCATCATCAACAGAAGACTTTTTGTTGGTCTGTCCATTTATTTATTATATTCTCCTTTCTAGGAGCAGCTACCAGAGCTTTACGTGCACTTTCAGTCCCAGAGTTTCCATACTTCAATGTATGCTTCATCATGGTTTTTAACAATCTTTCTCACAACTTTTCCACTTCCAATTGCAACAAGAATATTTGATATTTTTATGTCTGAGGTAAGTAAATGTCTACGGTTAACTTGCTACTACAACTGTTGCTGCCGAGTGCTGTCATTTGGGTGGTGGTATACATTCTGTTTCGCTAGATGAGTTTCAAACATGCTTGTATATAGTTTAATAAATGTAACATTGAATTGTTAAGAAAACGATATATATTTAATGAAGAAAAGCAGATGTATCTTTGGTGACTGTGTACCACAAAGTGGCATATGGATGTTTGATAAAAAGCAATGAAGCACTTCATTCTGATGCATGTTCTAGATGAAATGGGCAATACCTACCATTTCACAACTGAAACACCAGACTTCTAGTGACACAAGGTCATTCAATAGGTGGAAATGCTCCTTTCAAGTAAAAGTTAAAGCACATTGAATAGAATAAAACGCAGACAGAGGCTACAGTTACTAAGTGAACCTGTATGTCCTGAGAAATGAATTCAAGGAAGTATTCTTTGAGGCTGTCAGTCTGGTGCCTATCACAAATTCAGAATTAAAACTTTGAGCTCTGTAGGTTTTGGCTTGTTGCAGATTCTTCCCGTTAGATGCCATTCCTTCCAAATTATGTACTTAAAAAAATAATTAGGTGCCAAGGCATATGGCCTCTCAGGTTATGGCTAAGAATATTTTCAAAAACAGTAAATAGGAGTCAGATATTTCCTTATAGCTACCAAAGGCTGTCTTAACCGTTACCTGCTTAGCTACTGAAATTTCAAAAATGTTAAAATACAATTAAAATGCATTTCAGGAAGCACCAATATCCTGTTTTATGTAAGAAATATTTTTGCGTAAGACTTTGATAAAGCCTGCCCAGATAAACCCTCTTAAATGAAAGAGGTCAAACTTGGCACAATTAAAAATTACCTCTTCTGAACTAGCAGTGATAGCTCCTTGGTAGTTAAGCCTCATTATATAAACAGGATGAAATGAAGGAAACACCAATTGTTCATGCAAAGATGTTCACTAGTGTTGTTAGTACTGTTCAGTATGTGCAGGGCTAACTCACTGTTGCAGTATGTAAGCTAGTTATTGCATTGTATTATTGACAATCCCTTAAATAATGGATGGAATTTATTTTTTAAACCACTTTTATTTTCAGGGTTTAGAGATAGTATTTCGAGTAGGTTTAGCAGTTCTTCAGATGAACCAAGCAGAATTATTGCAACTTGACATGGAAGGGATGTTACAGGTAAACTCAATTTACAATAATACTGTTAAACATTCATTCATTTGCAAACAATGATATATGTACTTGTCAGTGCTAGTTACTTGTAATCTTGTGCTTTGATTTGCTTTTAGCACTTTCAAAAGGTCATTCCACATCAGTTTCACAGTGGTCCAGACAAATTAATCCAGGCATCTTACCAAGTCAAATACAATGCAAAGAAGATGAAAAAGTAGGTATTGTATTTTGAAAAAAATAACTGTATTTACTGTCAAAAGTGACTGTTTTATGAATTCTTAAAGATACTTGCCCATTATTTCAGTTTGAGCTTTTCTATTTTAAACTTTCTTGTATGTATTAGTATCTAATTCACTTCAAGTGAATATAATGTATTGTTTTACAGGTACAGTGATTCTTTTGAGGTAGTAATTACTATGTTTGCTGATCATTGTAACTAAAAGTATTATATCCCATGAATAAAAATAATTCAAAACACTGCAGAAAAAAACTAAGGTAATCACAATTATATTAATGATCAAAAGCACTTTTGTAAACTTGAGAATATAAACAGGAATGTGAAAGAACCTGGTTAGGAGAAAGATTAAACTAATTAGAAGATGGGTTAAATCCTTTGATTAAATGATTGGGGTTTGGAGAACTGGTGAAAATAGTCACACAGTAATAAAGATTGTATGTTGATCAAGATAAATATGGTTTATAATCCAAACAGGCAAAACTTTGTAATACTAGCTGATGGTTGTAAAGATAATTTTGGCTTGCTGTTTAAAAGCCTATGACATCTGTCACAGCTACAGGGTTAGCTGTACCACTTTCTCCCTTTTGGGTTTCATTTGTGTGCACTCCCTTAGGTGTTTTGGTTTCCTGCCTTTTTATTTCAGAGACGAATTCTACATTTCTCCCACTCTGTCTACAGTAGTCTGAGCCCATGCTGTTTTTATCCAGCACATTTGACTGTGTCTAGATACTTGCAGTTCTTTGGAAGTCCATGGTGGTGGTCTTAAGTTCTGAGCATTGTTTATTTTAACAGTAGGAGCAAAGTTTTTAGAGAGGACTTTGAAATGGTCTATAAATTTATCTTGCTTGCAATTCTTCTGTCTCCTGGTGGTAATTTAGGAAGGCTCAGTTTCCTCAGACACCCTAGCAAGGTGTCAAGGGCCTCAGTCTTTCCCCCTCCCAGTGGCTTCCACTTCTGTCTTTACAGAAGGTTCCTTTTTATTTTTTTTAATCCTATTACGTTGTTTTTGCTATTTTGTTCTTGGGTTCTTTTGCTGTTCTGATTCCATCCTATTCTGTATTGCTGGTTGAAGAGGAAGTAAAATCGAAAACTGCTACTTTTGGAAACCTGATAACTTGTAAGTGTTTGAAAACTGGCTTATCATTAGCTTTTCTTTTTCCTACCTGTTTTTCCCAGATAGCCCTCTTTTTGAATTAGTGTAACATTTATACAGTAAATATCCCACTAACCTGGTCAACCTAGCTTATTCATAAGATATTATGGAGCAGGTACAAATCAGGATGGATATAAAGGTGTAATAATAATGTCAGATCTCTTGACAATGCTAGACAACAGGAGCATTCAGTGTCCCGGGAAACTGATTACTTAAGTTAATAATAGTGCTTGAGGGGGGCTGATCTAAAAACAGTTTAAATCAGTGAGAAATGTGTAGTAATTTAAATTGGTTTTGGTGATCTGTTTAAATACTTAAATGTTCCAGTTTACTTGAGAATTACTTTAAAAAAATTCAGGTACTTAAATTTAACGGAATAACCTACTAGTAACAGTCAAACGCAAGAAAGAATCAAAGAATGCTTATTCATTTTTCTCCTGTTGGTTATGGGTGTTCTCAACACAAGATGAGTCTTTTCCAGTGTTTCTGCTACCTTCTAATGACAATTTTCCTTTCAGGTTAGAAAAGGAATACACTACAATAAAAACTAAGGAAATGGAAGAGCAAGTTGAAATTAAAGTAAGTGTGAAGCATCAACATAAGTGTCTCTCTGAAGAGGAGATTTTTTTAGGTAATGGGATACTAGTTTAATGTGTGTCATTAATGGTTTGTATAGTAACCGTAAGTAGATTTCATGAGCTGGTAGAATTACTTTTTGTACTTGGACTGGTTTTGAACAAGAAACTTGTAAAGGAAATACCTTAGAGCATGGGTGCTCAGCTTCTGGCCATGAAGTGTCATCTGGTTTGCTTCTCTTTCCAAGAGGAGCCTTGTTGGAAGCAGCTGGAGGGGCATGGGACCAGAGAGATGAAGATTTTTTTAATGAAAAAGTTAGAGGCAAGGGAGTTGTGGCAGTGTTAATTGTCATTCCCCTGCTGCCGAATTTCCAGAACTGTAGGGAGCCCAGCATCCCAGTGTGACCCTGTGTGCTAGATTGGGTGTGTGGAACTGGGTGGCATGGGGCTGGGTCTCCATGTGCAGAGCTTGCATTGGATCTGGCTCCTGGACCGGCCGCATGGCACTCATCCAGGCTGCATGCTATAGGTTGGCCACTCCCATTCTAGAATTCTGATGATATTATAGAAAATCATGAACAGGGAAAGTATACTGCGTAATGTTGTGAAACCATTTTTTGCTGATGATTTAATGGATAGCTGTCCATAATTGATGACTGATTAATCAGGGATTCATAACGGGTGTGGCTATAGAACTGCTGTGGAAGGCTTTTGGTAATTGTAAACTTAATAATGGGGAAGAAGCTCAGTCCTTTAATTAAAAATGTTAACAAACTTGAGCCATGCAGCACCTGGCCTTGAGACCTTGCTTTCCTTGTGCATTGTGGCATAAGATCAAAGATACAAAATATCTTTGCCAAGGCTTATTATTTAGATACATTTATACTGAAATTTCTGGAATTAACTCAACTAAAAATAATTGAAGGGGAAGTTGTACTTTGAAAAGTCTATGCAAATGTTTTCCTTTACTTACTGACTACTTTCTTTGTATAATTTATCTGGTTCTATTAATGACAAATAAGGTTTTGCCACCTTCTGCTCTCTTTAACCTTATGGGCTCTTCAGCATAAAGTTTGTGCTGGACTCTGTTCCTTGTCATATTTTTTGAGCAGTTATACCCAGGCAATGAAACTCAAGGTGATACAAGTGGTAGTGAGCAAAGTCTGTCAAGCAAGACACTGACTACTGATGGTAGTAATGTCTGCTTTACAGGCTTGATAGTGTCATTAGAGAAAACCCTGAAAGCTCCATCTTATGTTTGCATGTAAATGAAGTGTGTTTCATAGGAAGATCATTGACCTGCTAAATATGGGATACTTCTGTTACAGTGCTGGTCAGGTAGGCTTGCACATCAACCTTGCTGTATCACAATTTTGCAATTCAGCAGAAGATAATCAAGAAGGTAATCAAGAACACCATGCCCCTTTCTCTGTTTCAGGGGTTTAGATAAATACTGGCTTGGATGAAAAGATCCCTAATTTGGAGATCAGTATTTAAATTATTGTTTCCTCTTAATTTGCATAATATGCACCGCACAGACTTGGTTGACTGAAGTACCGACTGCTTCTATTCCTAACCTCTTCAGGCAGGTGGAATACTTTTACAAGCTAAGGCTGAGCTGAGGGTACATGACCAATACCAAACTTGAAGGCTAGATACAGAGGTTCACAAAGCCTGAGGTAGATTTGCACTAAGTTTCATGGCTTTTTCTAAGTGTCCTAGATTAGTTCAGGAGCAAACAGAACTAGCGTTTGCTCTGGGGGTTGGGGAGGCATGCAGGCGGCCTGCGCTGGCTGAGGCCAGCAGGCTGGGGGTGCTCTCACATGCCTCCCAGCAGGTTGCCAGAGAATTCTGAGCCTGGCTGAGCAGCTGGCTACCCCTATTGGCCAGCACAGCCTCTCTTCCCAGCTCTGGGTCACCCCCTGCCCCCCGCCCCC